CTAAACCCTAAAACCCTACTGTAACTGAACTCTAAACCCTAAACCCTACTGTAACTAAACTCTAAACCCTGAGCCGTGAAACTGGAGATCTGTTTGCAGCGCGTTTGTTGTGCAGGTCATGCCGGGGGCCTGCCGCTTCGGTCCACTGCGCCACCTTCCTGGATTTTGGGGTTCCCAGAGAACCCAATACAGCACCCCTTAAGTAAGGAATAGACCTTAAACTATAGGGGCCTTATAGTAATATGATTTAAGGTATCTTCCTTAGTTAAGGGGTATTGGGTTCTCTGGGTTGGGGTTCAGAAGCCACAAGATGGGAGCTGAAGGGAAAATTCAAAAGGGTCCGTTTTGTGGGTATGTTACATTATACTTATAAAGTCATAATAAAGAACCCTAGTATTGCTAATGTAGGGGCCTTTTAACAAGTACGTAGAATGGTTCTAAGAAGGGTCCAGGGATTGTAGAGCAGCAGCCGCTACGCGTCTCTCTTCCCCTTTCCCTCTCCGCCGCTGATGCTGTGTGTGGCGTGCCTAACATGACACGACATGATATCCAACCTGGGTCCAGTGTAGGCACGATGGTCGTGGTGCCAGCACAGATGTGGGTAGTCCTCTTAATTAGGGTGCTTTTCGGGGTCCTTTTTGTAAGGGTGCCGTTCTATATTGTAAACCGAGGAAGGGACCCCAATTTAGACAACCACATTCTGCTGCCCAGTGATTCCCAGGTCAAGGCTCACTCTACAGGATGTCGCCGGCTTGGGTCAGCCATGTCTCAGCTTGGCGAGCATATGCGAGCAGTGGACATGTCTAGTATCTGTGGCGGACAACCAGTCACCATGTATCCCAATAGCTGGATCTCACCCTGGATCGTGTATCTGTAGCACATAGCCAGGGAGCCTGCCCAATCTTGACAAGCTTTGCCTCCAGTGGGGAGTTTGCCGCTTCGATCCTTCAGGTCTGTGTACGTTCGAAACTTGGAGGTCGATGTCACCAGGCCAGCTTTCCTGCTTCGCCCTCTTCGTACTGGAAGCATGCACGCCTTTGCAATCCTTTGCATCGGTTACGCCACTTTGGCTTGCTGGCAGACTTGCAACGCGTTCGTGCAGCTCGAGCTACATCACCCCACCTGCGGCCACCGCCACCACCACCACCAAAACGTAGAGTGTCAGTCATTGTCAGCAATTCAACCTCCGTGAGGTTTGAACCCAAGCTGACCATGAGAGCACCAGAATTTCACGTGCGAGCTACGCGACGAATAAACCTCCTTAACCACTAACTTTCTGAAATTGGTGGGATAATGAAGTAGCTATGTGATGACTCAGTGCTGCGATCATGTCGGCAGCTTCAAACGCTCTCGTACATTACGTTGTATTCTCTTCATCCAGCCTTTTCTATGTGACAATGTGCATCTGTTCGCTTTTCGGCTGTGCAAAAGAGGAACGTTTTGACATCTGAGAAGTACGATAACTGGTCAAAGAGCCCCGATCTCACGACCTGTGAGCGGCATTGAGCTGAACAGGGCTGCCTGCGGGTCATTTTGTGTTTGCAAGCTCCAAGCCCTGACTGCTCCGGTAAGCTCGGTGCAGGTTTAACGTGAAGCCGCCGGAGAGCTGCACGGCTGCAGAAGGAGTCTCTAGCCTTTGGCCGAATATGCTGACCAGTTGTGGCATTCATGAGGCAAGTTGGTGAATGTGAAGTGGCAGCCGGGACACCTTGCGCCAGGCACAGAGAAGTGGCCCAGTCGCCCGCATGGGTTGCTTGCAATATACACCTTGTTGGCTGATGGGGGCTGTGCTCCCTGAAGGCATGGCAACCAAGCTGACGGTCGAGGCAAGACGGAGAAATCCAGCCGGGATTGCCGTCGAGCATGCAGCCAGGAGGGCATGTGAAAAATCACGCACACAACCGTTCTGCAGCACGTTGAGAGGGATCCTGAACCTGCCTCGCTTCAGGATCATTCTTCATCTACAGGGATTTAGCGGCATTTAGAAATAGGCTGCCTCGCCGCAGACATGCGTCGGGTCGGTTCAGCATCGTCCATACAGGACTAGTCATCGGCAGCATGATGACAGTCTGATTAGCGGTGCAGCTTTCTTGGCAATGAAGGTCTCAAATTCCACACCCATGTCAGAGCAGGGTTCTTGAAGCCTCTTCAATGATCCGGTCCTGAACCTTATATCCTGAAAAGGCAGGTTCGAGGGGAACTGTCTTCAACAAGCAAAACCCGGCAACAGCCGTAAGCCTTCAACCAAACTTAATACCAAGCTCCCAGTCCTCAACCATGATAGGACTAGGGTGTTGAGGTACAGTAGAGTATAACTACATACGGACTATGCGGGTATGGGGTCACATGGGGAAAAACATTAGGGCTATACTTCCTGCCACAGGTCTTGGCCTTGGAACCTGCTCGGATTGAGCAGCTGTTGGAGGTTCATACAAAGGCCCGGCTTCCTGCAATTCGTGGGTTTGAGCCATAAAGGGTTCAGGGTCGGACTTGAGAGGAAGTCTAAATTGCGACGGTCAAACTACGAGCCCCATACGATTGAGTGTTATAGGCTCTCCGCATCAGGCTGCTATCGGGTAGAGTCGCTGAGGTGCGTTTTCATAAGCTGTCGAACTTTGTGGAACTATGCTCTGCAGCCTTAGGAGTTGAGATTCCTAGGTGCGTGCGCATAAGGTCATGGAGGATGCGTATCCAGAGAGCTGCCCACATGTGGCTGCATGGCAGGCCCACATCGTCCGTGTGCCGATCACGGCTCGGATAGTGGGTGCCGAAGAGTGCCCGGGCATGTGAATAAAAGGTACATAGCCTGTCCAGCTTAGATATGGACATGATGTCATGTCTATGATTAGTACAGATTGTGGATGTATGAGTTTGCTTACAGACTCCGAAAGGGGACATGCTTTAGCATCTACTGTTCGTGCAGTTTATGCTGACCCGAAGGTCGGTGCGCATAGCAATACGACTGCAAAACGAAGTCGCCAGTCAGCCCTGCCCGTGGCGCTTAAGTCGCTTAAGGTGGTAGGACGAGCTGTAAGGGAAGAGACACTGTTGGGAGTTGTGGATGCGATTCACTTTCACCGCCTTGCCAAACAAGGTACGACCGCTTGGATGCAGAGTCGCACTGGCCCAAGCGATCGTGACGATACCTCATGGAGAGAGATGCCTCAGTGATAATTGGCACAAGCACGGCTGCACTGCACAGCCCTAAACCCCGCAAGGATGGCTCTGCACGGCCGGCGGATTGGGCGTCACCGTGAGAAGTCGGAGACACACAAGTCCGAGACTTGTTTCTTAGAACAGACGGCCATGATCTCGCTCCCATGCTTTCACTTGGCCCTCTCACCCTCGCCTTTCGGACATGAGCAGATGCAATGGCTTCGAGTGTTCGCTTCAGGCTTACAGCCCTCCGAAACCAGTCCTGAGTCCCCCTTACCATTGAGGCCCGGGCCGGTGCAGCTAATCACGGAGCCAAGCTACTGCAAGAAGGCGGCGAAGATTCCGACAAGGGTTCAGACGCAAGCCGTATAGGTTATGAGTCTTGAGCTGTGAGTCTCGTTTAGGTTAGAGTTTCAGGCGTTTGTGTATGGTGTTGGCACAGTTTGAGGTGGGCATGATCGCAATACTTGGATTCGTGCTGTCATGTCCAAAAGCTAGCATCCGAATATCGTTATCGCAGGCGGGATTCAGTGAATCCTATGCATCGGTAGTATTGATTGTTTTCGTATTATTCTTATGGCATGTGGAGCCCAAATGGTTGTTGTTTTCCTCTCCATATTTGTCTCCCTCGCCTTCTCTCTCGCTCCCGAGTTCAGGGGGAATCGGGGCTAGAGACCCAGCGCAGGGCCGCCAGGCTGCCCAGAACCACGACAAGTAGAAGAGTCAAAACATAATATACGCAATATGGGGCCTTGATAATTAGGACATGGTTTAGGAGTATACTATATAAAGAAGCCCCCATCTTAGAAGGACAAGGAAGATGCTTCAGACCTCCTGGATTTGTGCTGGGCTTTCCATCTTTCCTGCCCTTATAAACCCTTAGCCCTAAACCCTACATCGTTATCGCACCCTTATCGCAATCCTTCTAGTATGCTTAAAGTGGTATCCCCAATATAGTCAACCCATAGAGTACAGTACCCCCCCTAAACCCTAAACCCTAAACCCTATAAACCCAATAAAATGAAAAAAGCTCATAGAGTACCTAAACCCTAAACCCCAAACTACCCCAAACCCTAAACCCTAAAAAGCAGAAACAAAGCGTGGCAGGTCATGGGCCCCACGTGGCAACCTCCCCCTGTGGAGTTCGATGACCTCCCGGCGACGGAGCTCTTGCGAGACTTGGCCGAGATTGGGACTCCTAGGATTCATCTCTTCTGGGGGCTTTAGGGTTCAGGGTTTGCAAGGTCAGGAGTCCGTGAGTGTCCGGGAAGGCGCGATGCCATGAAGACTAGTGTCTGAACAAGGGCAATGATGATATTATTGATCACCATCAGCAGTTTGACTGCCAGTTCCGGAGGTGCCAACAACAGTCGCGATTGTCAGTATGACCGTGATGCAATCATGATGACGATGACGACGGTGACGATGACAATGACGATGATGCTCGCTGACATCGTCCCACACGTTCTTGGCAGTGCGGCGGTTCCCATGGCCGCCAACGCCACCACCACGAATCTTTGCTTCACCATCATCACCGTCATCTTCTTTGACACCATCGCCATTACCATCGTCATCATCATGCCATCATCGTCATCAGCATCTTCACCATCGTAATGATCATCATCCGCAGAACCAGCATCAACAGACATTGGCGCCATCATGTTGGTCTTTAGTAATGTCGTAGGCAGTTCACGACTGTCATCGTCAGCGTCGGTATTGTCGTCTTCGTCAAAACGATTTCGCCGCAAGTGTTCCATCGCTGCATTTGTCCTCATCGCAATCGTCGTGGTCACGCATGTTCCATCGCTGCATTTGTCCTCATCACAGTCGTTATGGTCATTCTTGAAAAAACCTCGCGGTTACCGTTACCATCATGCCGACCAACGCAGTTATCGTCACCATTGAGCATCACCACCACTACCATCACCATGTCCAGCATCATCGACGCCACCACCCCAGCCATGATCATCTTGATCATGGCCATCATCAGGACGACGCCATCATGTTCAATACCATCACCATATCATCGTCGGGCTCGTATTCTGCACCCTCGGCATCAAACACTACATACTTGTGTGACTCACTCAAATCCGCTGAGGGAAGCAAGACTGGACTATAGAGATACTGGAAACCGTCATGACGGGAGCCACAACCATGAAATGTCTGGAACTCTACCAGCAGGTGGCGCAGCGTTTGGCATTGTTCTGCATTTACAAATCCAACTGCAGCCGAGGTTGAGTTGGAGGCCCCAGCAGAGGACGCGGCCAGTTGAGGATCCACCTGGCAGTCGTAGAAGCAGCCCGAGTTCAAATCAGACGGCCCATGGAAGATTATTGAAACGAACGAACATATACCCCCAAACCATATTCTAATTTTATTAATGACTCTGTATTGAGACATTATAAAGACTTACATATACATATACAGCGAAACATATTCTAAATTTTCAGGACTCCATATTAAGACCTAAGACTTGGAGATTATCGAATTCGCTCTGGCTCGGTCACAGGAGCCGTTTCACATAGCACCGTCTCACGCAGAAAACTGAGGCACGCCAGGATGTTCGAAAAGACTTCAGCTTGCAGAATTTGCGGCTGTTCGGTTGCAGTGTGCAGATTGCAAGTTATACGTATCCACACTATACTACTTGTAGAATGGTAAGTTCTTAGGTGTTGTCTCTATGAAGATGATGAGTGTGACATTTTATTTCATGAATGTTACGCTGTCATTCCGCTACCACTGCTTGGTCAAGTACAACTCCGCTAGTGTGCTTGTCTCCTGGTTGCTCTTGTTTCATGTGGAGCTGTTTCATGGCCCGTTCACCTGCAGGAATGCCATGTACGACCTGCGTTCCGAACTGATTGTCAGCCCGGCTTTGAACAGGCCTGACCAAGGGCTACGCTTCAACGGCTTGCACTTCAGCTCAGACGAGATGCCTTGTTTCCTTGCGCTCGCTCAGGCGTCGCTGGGGACAGGAAGTCGATCAGGAAGTGGAGACCGAAAACTCCTGAAGCGCGGTGCGAAAAATGAGAAGGCTGCAAGCGCACATCTGGACACCACATATGACCGCACTGGATCCGGTGTGCATCAGCGTTGGGTGAGGCATTTCAGAGTCTGGAGACTTGCGAGCGCAAGATCTACTGCTGAAGGTCTTGGTCCCGGGATCGAACGGATCAAATCATAATAACTGGGCCGGAAGTTGGTAAATGTTTTTGACGGCCCGTTGAGAAGTGGCTGAAATTCTGGATGTTGAGAGTGTGAAGGTTTAGGGGCTCTGGGATGTGCTATGCTAAACTACTTAACGAGAGTGTTTCCGTGTTGTTTGTGCCAGCTCCTGTGGATTCTTTTCTTGGCTCCACAAGGCGGCTTGTGTTCTGCGATTGTAGTTAAAGAGGGTCGAAAAACAACCCTCCATCCGTAGCATCCTTGACCGCCATGCTGCCGGAAGCTTTTTGCGTGGACACCAGGTAGGAAGGCCGCAAGTTGTAAGGGTTGACACAACACTTGAGGGCCTCAACACCTAAGGTTACTGGTAACCTTGCTGCTTGTGATGATCGCCCACTGGCGAGTGAATCCGTCGAGCAAGTCGGACATGAAGTTCATCGTGCAGTGGCCACGCAGCTGGATCAGGAAGGTCCCTAGAGTAAGCCTTAGAGTGCTGTAGCTAGGCAACTGAGGCATGCAAAACTTGCAGGCATGTGTCAAACAAACCAGTGAACATTGGTCAGACTTGCTTAAACATACCTCCCGTCCCAAACCGCATGCTTTCATTGTTGCAAAAGGCAACGATCTTGCAGACAACTCACTTCACTTGAGGGTGGTTATCTGAGCATATCTGAGCTAGACTCCTAGACCTGTGCTTTCAAAATGGCTATGCCAGCTGGAAAGCAAGAATCGCGCAATCCGGTCTCTCTTGAGTTCTGAACCATATTTAGCCGCAAGCAAAGCATCTGCCCTTTGAGCCCGCCAGACTTGTGCGAGACCGTCGTAGACGTTTGTGCATAACAGCTAGCAATATCAGCAAGCATTTTTCAAGTGAGAGTTTCGGGAACTGCCAGACCTGCTATCCGTGCGTTTTTTCCGCGAAAATCCGCTCTATGTGATCCTCTTCATACAACTAATAGATCAGCGTAGTTTGGATAGGGCCGAGCATGTCGGATACTGTAGTAGTCAAGTCGGTCCACTACTATGAGAGTTTGGCAATCGCTCTCATCTCTAGACAACACAATCAAGCCCCTCTTCGTCACCATGCTGGAGTGTACGCACTAGTCTGTCTTCCATCCCCTGCGATTTGGCCAGTGGTCATCAGAAGTACTCCATGTGATTGACGGAAGGCCTCGGGCGCGAAGTTGTTGAGGGTTTTAGGTTTTTTTCAAGGTTTAGATGGATCTCTTGCTTATGGAGTCCTGGGTTTCAGGAATTGTGGATAGGAGCTGTGCAGGAAAGATGCACTTGCAGGAATCGTGGATGTGTGGAATTGAGCGAAGGAATTCTGGGCAGTTGACATTATGCAATTACCGAATACTGGGCTGGAATGGAATTACGGAATTCCTGGTCGCGGTGTTCGCTTTCAGGGCCTCACTAGCAGGTGTCTTGCGAGGCAGTGTTCAATGCTTTGCAACATTAAGCCCTCGTTTGTCTACATGGATTTCTCTAACTCTAAGCTTGTTTTTCGGATTATAAGATTGTGCGGTTACGTCCTCACCGTCACCGTCATAGTCGTACATCCACACAGGTGCACATGCAGTATCATATGCACTAATAACTCTTGCTACCCTGCTTGATTGCTTGGTTCTCGCTGTGTTGTGCATGCCTGTGTGTGGTTGCTTCTCTACTTGCTTATTTGTTTGCCTGTGTGTTTCTCTCCCTCTCTCGCTCTTTGTCTTGTGTGTGTGTGTGTGTGTGCGTCTGTGTGTTTGCTAAAACCCCCATCTAGGAGTGATGTAGAACTGGAGTAACTTCAATCATAGCGTGCTTGCCAATCCTGCCCGGAACATGCCTCCAAGGCTCCAGCAAGCCTTCGCTCCGACTCCGACGGACAAGGCCAACGAGGAGTGCAGCATCACCCCGGCATAGACTATGCGTTAAACGCAATGAGGCTGATAACGATGCAAGGAGGTGGGCGCACACGAAGACTGAACCTCAGAATGGTAGCGACAACATCTCCAGGTTGAGTGTGTGCTGGCTGAGGGGCCAGAGCCGAGCTCGGCTGTATGAAAACCAATTTAAATCGGACAGACATGGGCCTGCCAAGAATGCAACCCTTTTGCCACATTGTCAGGACAACTCGCGGAATGCTCGTGTGAGTGAGTCAATGCGAGAGGCCGATCGGCTGCACCTTCTCGTCTCACTGGAAGCTGTCACAGCTCGTACCGCATGTGCCGGAGGTCCTTACCATCTTACTGCTGCATCCGAGGTGCGTGTGAAAACCTACGTGACGCTATCGAGAATATTTGTTCATACGCTGGTGCCAATCCAGCTCTTCGTCTTGTCCGACCTGCTGAGAAACCCTAGTGCGAATGGCTGGGCCCAAATGGGATTCCTGCTAATTGCGACGTGCCTTAAATTTCTACATGTGCACAGCATGTCGCAGTGATGTTCACGGCTTTGGATTTTCCTCTGTCGCTGTCATGCCAGCGAGGGCTACTTCATGCACTGGTCAGTCGCCAACGGCGCCCTTTGCCCGAAGCCCCATCAGATCAGAGGGGTGTGCGCTGGCTGGTACACGCTGCTGCTTGCCCCAACCAGCCCAAATCAAGCACCTTAGTCACTCGGAAAACACTGGAGCTACAAGCAACAGAGTATTGAGGCAAAATTGAGCTGCCTGGCAGACCCGCCTTCTTCCTGGCAGATAGGTCAAGGTTGTGATTGGAGCATTCACCTGACAAACAAGGCTGGTGGCATTCACGCTATTTGCTCCTTGCCACCCTACAGGAAGAGATGCTCTTTTCTTTCTAGGCCGGACCTTCATGCAATGCCGCATGGAGTGCAGAGAACCCCAGAGTTTTGCTCGAGAGGCTTCAAGATCGGCAGCAGATTGACGATGACAGCCGTATTCCTGGACAGCAAGCGGCTTGTCTTACCTGCCAGTCGCAGTGGCTGCATGAAGTCCGGTTGCTCTTTTAGATTTTAGCTCGGAAGCGACTGACTCCACTGAAATGTCAGCACTTGCGCTGAGTCTCCGACATGCTGGCGCTGTCGGTTTCCAGCGCGAAAATTGAAGCAGTACACCTTACGCAAATGCTGCTGCCATGACACCTGGCATTCCTAGAAAACCATCCTCACTAGAAGATACTAGAAATTGACTTCCAGGACACTAAGAACCCGATGGACAAATCATGCAAAACCGTTCATACCAAGCTACTCATAAACTTCTTCTTCTTCACCATCTCCTTCATATCGTCAGACCTTTGAAAATTGGCCTCGTGATCGGCACAGTGAGCATCGCATCAGCACCATCATCAACAACAGCAGCACTATCACAATTAGCCAGGTTTACCTGCTACAGCAACACCACCATCAGAGCTACCGGTATCAACATCACCATCATCATCATCATCCAGAGCCATAGCACGCTATCTTTGGACCACTACTACAATAATCCGCGACGAGGATGTCCCTCGTCTTCCAAGCTCTGCCGCTTGGCTGCCAGGTAGTTTCCTGCAGAGTTCTCAAGGTTGAGGTGCTGCAGCTGCTGCTGCTGCAGGCGCTAGCGCTTTTGCTGGGCGGTGGCGGTGGTGGTGGTGACGGTGGTGATGGTGCTGGTGGTGGTGGATGTGGTGCTGGGGGGTGGCGGCGGTGGTGGTGGTGATGGTGGTGTTGTTGTTCAGTCTCACTCTTACCGATGGATGATCGACTGCAAGGATCTCTGTGGCTTCTCTGGTGTCGGACCTGGTCATTCACAACACTGGCCAAGAAGCCTTCATGCTGTTGGCCATGGAGATTCAGCACTTCGTGACTCTGGCCAAATTGGCTCCCGATAGATCTGATGGCATGGCAGACTGCCTGCTGTCACCTGTGCTGTGGACCACCCATTTTTCCGTGTTGTGTTTCAAGACCTTCTTTCTACACTGCTGCGCGGCTTAGGTCGGGTCCATGACGCTGTCTGCAACTCTGGAGTTTCTTATCCGTTCCCGCATACTCGCACTACTGGACGTTGCAGATGCCGAAACTCTTGTTTCTAGTTTCCAGCATGTCCTTCGCGGGATCTGCGATGGAGATATCCTGCTGACCAGCAA